ATCGGAGTCTCCGGGTTATTAAAGGCGACTCCAGAGTGCATAAGATTCTTGTTGTGTAAAGTGAGTCAAACAGAAAGGATAAATCATTCTCACAACTATTTGTTAGAAATCGTGTGTAGTGTTTGATAAGCCACAACAAACTACTTGTTAAATTTTTTTTTTCCATATTTTTCCAGGGTCATCTCAGGATGTTCAGGGTCTTGCTGCTCCTGTTGGCCGTGGCGGGTGAGATTTACCTGCATTTCTTGTCTTATTTATTGACATTATATTTTTTGAATATTCTAGCTGATTTTTAAACATGATTCTAGCATGTAGCTATTTAAAATATTAAAACTGGTAAGGTGATGTTAAAAAATGTGTACTTACATTATAAAATCTTACTATGGTCATCATTTTTGGCCAAAATAATAATAGTTTTGTTACTATTTTAAAATCATAATAAATTCATGTGGGTTTGAAATCACTTTCAGTCTTAGAAGTTTTCAGAATATATTTCCGTATTTTTATCTTATTGATATTCTAATAATAATAATTTCTTAAAGCAATTCCAGCATGCAATTAAAATTGATATAGTGATGTTAAAAGGAAAAACAATATACAGAAGGGATCTTACTTTTTTTAGTTTATTATTTTTCTAAAATAATAGTTTTATAATAAATCATAATATGGAATCACTTTCAAACAGTCTAAGAAGGTTTTAAAATATTTCTTTTTTTATCACATTATAATGGCTTCTTTAAATTTATCACAGTTGTATTATAACAATAGGGTAGATTTTGTGAAAACTGTTCTAGTGTAAAGGTTTGGTTTTCCTCATTAGTTCAAGGTTTGGGAACAAACGGTCTTCTGAACTTTAATCTTTATCAGGGTTGAACCACGTCTGCTTCTTCTTTGGCACATAAGCACATTTTATCTGCTTGATAAAATATGTGATTAGCTGTTCAACAACTGAGATAGAGACAAGTCGTAAATCAGTTTTTATGGCTTGTGAAGTAGAGGTGTGCTTTTAGGTTAAGTGAGATTATATGAAAGGGCATTTGGCATGTTTAATGTATAAGAAATAAGCTGCAGGTTTGATGTTCATGATGTGTTTGCAGGTCTCCATGCAAGACCACTGCACCGATTCCCAAATGGTAAATTAAAACAAATTGGGCCACAAATGGTCCAAGATGAACACAGGGATAGCTCAGTTCTGAAGCACATGAACACTGATGTGAAACCCAAGAAGCAATTACCAGTTCCCGCTGAGTTCTGCAGACAGGGAACAGAACCTTCCAGACGCTTCCTGATGGACCTGAACACTGGGATGCTCAAGCGTGGAGTTGGCGAAATGAACAGAAGAGTTTCAGGATGTATGTCTGCAAAGTCATTTTCTTAAATATCAATGCACATGATAGATTTTGAACCATAACACCTTACGCTTAGTTGTAATCATAAATACACTCTTAAAAATAAAGGTGCTTCACGATGCCAAAGATTAAGATGCTTTTTGTCTAAATGGTTCCATAAAGAACCTTTAACATCTGAAGAACCTTTCTGTTTCACAAAAGGTTCTTTGTGGTGAAAGGTTCTTCAGATTATAAAAAGGTAAGAAAGAGACGGTTCTTTAAAGAACCTTTGACTGAATGGTTCTTTGTGGAACCAAAAATGTTTTTTCTATGGCATCGCTTGAGGAACCTTTTGAAGCACCTATATTTTTAAGAGTGTAGGGTCTTCTAAGGGTTTTTAAACTTAAGCGGTTTGTTGCAAACCCATCTAAAGCTCTCCACCAAGTTTCATTGGATAAAGCAAAACTTCACCCCTTTTATAATACAATTTAAGCATCTCCATAGACTTCTATCTTTAAAAAGTGGAAAAATATATAACACTAACTGATGCGATTGGCATACAGTAAGAAGTATGGAGCTGTAAATTAGTGGACTGCGTAGTTCATTAGGACTTGGAAGAATATGATGAAAAATGTTTGAGTTCATATTGAGATCTCCGGCTTTGATTGCAAACTTTGGTATTTTGGCAAATCTGAGCAGTTTGAAACATTTTTGAGAATCTAGAAGAAAAACATGAGATTAGTCTCTTTTTTTTCTAGAGAAGCATTTCAGAACCAGGAGACTTCAGCAGAAGTCTCAAATTGATCTTGTTTAGTTAATTGATCAATGGTTCTCCTAAGAAAAAGACCCCAATAATCTCACATCTATCTCCTCTAGAGTTTTGGATCTCAGCAACTCATGATATTAGTCTTTTTTTCAAGAGAAACATCCTGGAACCATGAAACCTCAGCAAAAGTTTCCAATTGCTGTTGTTTAATCTTATATTGGAACTCTTCTAATGGAGAAATAACTTGAAAGAATTTGAAATAAATTTCCATATTACCTGCCAATTGCACATTGATGTCTGCATTTGTTGTGGTGTTTCCTCTACAGTGGATGAGTTCAGACAAGGCACTGAGAACAAGCTGCACACCCTGCAAGAGCTCAGAATGCGTCCCATGATGAGATCGCAGTACAGCGCTCAGAGCGAAAAACACGAGCAGAGAGCAATCCCTGCCGAGGTGTACAGAAAATGCACTGAAACTTCTAGAAATGTCCTGATGGACCAGAACACCGGTCTGCTCAAAGAACACAGGAACGAGATGGACAGGAGAGTAGGGGGCTGTAAGTCTCACTTTCTAATGGAGATTGTCCATTGGTCTACCAGCTAGAGTAGCAATAAACCAGTGCTAATCAACATAAACCATCCAAAGTAAAGTCTAATTGGTCTTTTTAGCAGGTAATTTGGCTTTCTCAGCAATCCTTTACCAGTCTGGACTAATGTTTTCTTTCACCTTCATTAGCAGCTAAATGGGAAGTGGTTTCTGAGCATGAGGACACAAGAAGCCAAGACTCTTCTGAACATAAGGAGAACCACAAAGCAGTTCCTGTTGAGATCCGCAGGCAGGGAACAGAACCTTCCAGACGCATCCTGATTGACACGAACACTGGGATGCCCAAGGAGGAACTCAGCGAAATGAACAGAAGAGTTTCCGGCTGTAAGTCTGCAAAATAATTTGCATTATAGATTTTAGTGTTGCTTTGCTTTTTCAAAACCTCTACGTATTATATGTAAGGTCAACATGATCATGCAAAATCGCATGGACAAACACTCAAGCTGTTCTTAAGAGAAATCAAGTATAACAATTACATTTAATAGATTATGGATACTTTCAATAGTGTGCTATTTTCTCCACAGTCTACAATCCAGCACCTATTGAGAAGAGGCAAGGAACAGAACCTTCCAGACGCTTCCTGATGGACATGGACACTGGGATGCTCAAGCATGAAGTTGGCGAAATGAACAGAAGAGTTTCTGGCTGTATGTCTGCAAAGCCATTTTTTTTAAATATCAATGCAAATAACAGATTTTGGGCTTACTTCATCAGTTTTTGTTTTCTCCACAGTCTACAATCCTCCAGCTTATGAGATGAGGAAGGGAACCCAGAATTCTCATGCCACTCTGGTGGATTCCAGAACTGGACAACTGCTGCCAGCTCTAACAGAACTGCAGAGGAGCACAGAGCCATGTGAGTGCTTCAAACATGATATCCACCATGTTCTAAGACTTGAAAATTGTTAAAAATACCTACACTACTTGCACTTTTGGATATAATAGGGATTCATCAAAAATGTAAATTATGCCATAATTTCTTACCATCTTAAATTTTCCAAAATGGTTTTGTTTCTTGTGTTCAACAGAATATCTATTCAGCTGAACTTTCAAGCACTGAATCATTAGTTCAAGGTTTGGGAACAAACGGTCTTCTGAACTTTAATCTTTATCAGGGTTGAACCACGTCTGCTTCTTCTTTGGCACATAAGCACATTTTATCTGCTTGATAAAATATGTGATTAGCTGTTCAACAACTGAGATAGAGACAAGTCGTAAATCAGTTTTTATGGCTTGTGAAGTAGAGGTGTGCTTTTAGGTTAAGTGAGATTATATGAAAGGGCATTTGGCATGTTTAATGTATAAGAAATAAGCTGCAGGTTTGATGTTCATGATGTGTTTGCAGGTCTCCATGCAAGACCACTGCACCGATTCCCAAATGGTAAATTAAAACAAATTGGGCCACAAATGGTCCAAGATGAACACAGGGATAGCTCAGTTCTGAAGCACATGAACACTGATGTGAAACCCAAGAAGCAATTACCAGTTCCCGCTGAGTTCTGCAGACAGGGAACAGAACCTTCCAGACGCTTCCTGATGGACCTGAACACTGGGATGCTCAAGCGTGGAGTTGGCGAAATGAACAGAAGAGTTTCAGGATGTATGTCTGCAAAGTCATTTTCTTAAATATCAATGCACATGATAGATTTTGAACCATAACACCTTACGCTTAGTTGTAATCATAAATACACTCTTAAAAATAAAGGTGCTTCACGATGCCAAAGATTAAGATGCTTTTTGTCTAAATGGTTCCATAAAGAACCTTTAACATCTGAAGAACCTTTCTGTTTCACAAAAGGTTCTTTGTGGTGAAAGGTTCTTCAGATTATAAAAAGGTAAGAAAGAGACGGTTCTTTAAAGAACCTTTGACTGAATGGTTCTTTGTGGAACCAAAAATGTTTTTTCTATGGCATCGCTTGAGGAACCTTTTGAAGCACCTTTATTTTTAAGAGTGTAGGGTCTTCTAAGGGTTTTTAAACTTAAGCGGTTTGTTGCAAACCCATCTAAAGCTCTCCACCAAGTTTCATTGGATAAAGCAAAACTTCACCCCTTTTATAATACAATTTAAGCATCTCCATAGACTTCTATCTTTAAAAAGTGGAAAAATATATAACACTAACTGATGCGATTGGCATACAGTAAGAAGTATGGAGCTGTAAATTAGTGGACTGCGTAGTTCATTAGGACTTGGAAGAATATGATGAAAAATGTTTGAGTTCATATTGAGATCTCCGGCTTTGATTGCAAACTTTGGTATTTTGGCAAATCTGAGCAGTTTGAAACATTTTTGAGAATCTAGAAGAAAAACATGAGATTAGTCTCTTTTTTTTCTAGAGAAGCATTTCAGAACCAGGAGACTTCAGCAGAAGTCTCAAATTGATCTTGTTTAGTTAATTGATCAATGGTTCTCCTAAGAAAAAGACCCCAATAATCTCACATCTATCTCCTCTAGAGTTTTGGATCTCAGCAACTCATGATATTAGTCTTTTTTTCAAGAGAAACATCCTGGAACCATGAAACCTCAGCAAAAGTTTCCAATTGCTGTTGTTTAATCTTATATTGGAACTCTTCTAATGGAGAAATAACTTGAAAGAATTTGAAATAAATTTCCATATTACCTGCCAATTGCACATTGATGTCTGCATTTGTTGTGGTGTTTCCTCTACAGTGGATGAGTTCAGACAAGGCACTGAGAACAAGCTGCACACCCTGCAAGAGCTCAGAATGCGTCCCATGATGAGATCGCAGTACAGCGCTCAGAGCGAAAAACACGAGCAGAGAGCAATCCCTGCCGAGGTGTACAGAAAAGGCACTGAAACTTCTAGAAATGTCCTGATGGACCAGAACACCGGTCTGCTCAAAGAACACAGGAACGAGATGGACAGGAGAGTAGGGGGCTGTAAGTCTCACTTTCTAATGGAGATTGTCCATTGGTCTACCAGCTAGAGTAGCAATAAACCAGTGCTAATCAACATAAACCATCCAAAGTAAAGTCTAATTGGTCTTTTTAGCAGGTAATTTGGCTTTCTCAGCAATCCTTTACCAGTCTGGACTAATGTTTTCTATCACCTTCATTAGCAGCTAAATGGGAAGTGGTTTCTGAGCATGAGGACATAAGAAGCCAAGACTCTTCTGAACATAAGGAGAATCACAAAGCAGTTCCTGTTGAGATCCGCAGGCAGGGAACAGAACCTTCCAGACGCATCCTGATTGACACGAACACTGGGATGCCCAAGGAGGAACTCAGCGAAATGAACAGAAGAGTTTCCGGCTGTAAGTCTGCAAAATAATTTGCATTATAGATTTTAGTGTTGCTTTGCTTTTTCAAAACCTCTACGTATTATATGTAAGGTCAACATGATCATGCAAAATCGCATGGACAAACACTCAAGCTGTTCTTAAGAGAAATCAAGTATAACAATTACATTTAATAGATTATGGATACTTTCAATAGTGTGCTATTTTCTCCACAGTCTACAATCCAGCACCTATTGAGAAGAGGCAAGGAACAGAACCTTCCAGCCGCTTCCTGATGGACATGGACACTGGGATGCTCAAGCATGAAGTTGGCGAAATGAACAGAAGAGTTTCTGGCTGTATGTCTGCAAAGCCATTTTTTTTTTTAAATATCAACGCACCGCTGCACAAACAAGACACTGAACCTTCCAGAAACCTCCTGATGGACCTGAACGCCGGTCTACTCAAAGAACATAGGAATGAGATGGACAGGAGAGTAGGGGGCTGTAAGTCTCGAACTGGTCTTTTTACCAGGAAATTTAGCTTTCCTTTACCAGTCTGGACTAATGTTTTCTATCACCTTCATTAGCAGCTAAATGGGAAGTGGTTTCGGAGCATGAGGACATAAGAAGCCAAGACTCTTCTGAACATAAGGAGAATCACAAAGCAGTTCCTGTTGAGATCCGCAGGCAGGGAACAGAACCTTCCAGACGCATCCTGATTGACACGAACACTGGGATGCCCAAGGAGGAACTCAGCGAAATGAACAGAAGAGTTTCTGGCTGTAAGTCTGCAAAATAATTTGCATTATAGATTTTAGTGCTGCTTTGCTTTTTCAAAACCTCTACATATTATATATGTAAGGTCAACATGATCATGCAAAATTGCATGGACAAACACTCAAGCTGTTCTTAAGTGAAATCAAGTATAACAATAGTTGACAATCTTCAAGGCAGTTTACGCAAATCAAAAAAAGACACGAACTTCTGCTTGACTCAACTAGAGCAGATGCAACGAAAATGCAACGACGTTCGGTCGCGTCGCAACAACGTTCGTCTGGTCAATCTACCAACAGGAATGGAAGGAGACGACCCTGTCGGTTTTCTACAGAAAATGCTACCTAAATGGATCCCGGATCTTTCGTGCCCGATTGAGATCGACAGAGCCCATCGCGTATACTCGAACTCCAACTCACCTAGGCCACGATCGTTGATATTTCGGCTTCTTCGCTGCCCTGACAGGCAAGCCATCCTTCAAGGAGCACGTAAAGCAAAACCCACTTTGCCCGGAGGAGCGCGTCTGGAGTTCTATGCTGATTACAGTCACGAGACGGCACAAAAAAGGAAGGCGTTTTCAACCGTATGATCCAAGCTTCACCAGAAAGGCGCTGAAACTTTCCTGATCTACCCAGCATTGCTGAAAGTCACTTACAAGGGTCAGAAATACTCGTTTGAATCTCTGGAAGATGCTGAAAAGTATCTCGAGGGTCTTGATGGAGCGGCGACACCTATTGCCCGCAGATCTTTAAACTTCCTGCCTGAGGAGACAATGGAGGATGACTAATGACGCTTTTGACCACAAATTTGTTCAATACAAGGACTAGAAACCTTTTCAACGTTTGCTCTTGGTTCAGCCCATCAGAGTGAATTGGTAACATGTTCCTATTTTTATACGGTATTTTTATTTGTTTATTTTATATTATTTTTTCTCCCTCATGTGCAGATTGTTAGACATTGCTTTATAGAGAGTTTTTAGTTGATTATTGTAAGCTCGCTAACCTAGAAAAGAGGGGCCTCAGTTCATAATTTAATTCCGGCTGCCATAAAGAGTCGAGTTATGGTAATCACATGTTTTAGGATTACTTCAGAGCTCTGTAAAAATCACCTTATAATTCTATATTCCTCAGTTTGTTTAAATCATAGGGGTTAATAAGGCGAATAATGTTTTAGACATTGCCTCGCGACTGCCACAGATGTTTGCTAAAAGGGTTAAATGGGAGAGGGAGGGGGCGCTTAGGCGCATAAAGCACCCAGGACCGCTAATGATTTTGTTGATGCATATGGATATAAAAATCTTGGTTATATGTTCAACAACCTGTTTTTTACACTATGCGTTATTCTGTGTGATTCCAGCAACTATAGACTATGGTTAATATAAATATATTGTCTCTCAATGTTAGGGGGTTGAATTCTCCCATTAAACGTACACGGGTTTTAGATCTTATGCACAGAAAGAAAATCGATATAGCGTTTCTCCAGGAAACCCACCTTACCGCTATAGACACCCAAAGAATGCAAAACAGGCGTTATATTCCCATAGTATCATCAAGTTGTAATTCTAAAAAGCAAGGGGTGACAATTCTTCTGAAACGTAATTCTAATTTTATTATTGAACACAAAGGCTCTGATGACGATGGTTGAGTTGCTTATTGCTGTGCTTTAATTGAAGGAAACAGGTATGCATTTGTTAATATATATGCCCCAAACTCATATGACGTCTCCTTTTTTCCACAAGTTTTGAAAACACTTTTATCTCTTCATGGTTATTCAATTATCATTGGATCTGACATGAATGCCGTGTTTGACACAGTTTTGGATCGTTCCAATCCCTCAGTTTCGGTAACACAGTCTCAGTCTTCTACAGCACTAAGATTGTTTATTAAAGACCTAGACCTGTGTGATGCTTTGCGTTTACAAAATCCAACTGCTAAGGAATACACCTATTTTTCCCCAAGTCACAAATCTTTCTCAAGAATTGATTATATTTTACTTTCATCTACGCTACTTCCAGATCTAATTCGTATTGAATTCCTACCACAAAGTGTTTCTGACCATAATGCTGTATTAGCACATCTCCAGATCAAGACGTCCCGTAAACCGTCCCGATGGAGATTTAATACTCTGCTTCTACAAAATGAGGACTTCCTTTCTCAACTGAGAGCAGAACTGACCGAATTTATCAGATTAAATCAAAACTCAGTCTCCAATTATGATATGTTATGGGCGTCTATCAAAGGCTTTTTAAGGAACAAAGCCATTTCCTTTTCGGCTAGACTTAAAAAGAAATATTTTGAACAAATATCAGTATTAGAAAGAAGATGTGGGGACTTAGAAAGGGAATTAGGTTACAACTTTTCCAGTATTACACTACATAAGTTAAAGGCTGACAGGGCTGCGCTCAATGATTTGCTTCGCAGAAGAGCAGAATATTTAATGCATATTACAAAACATAAATACTATATAGACGGAAGCAGACCAAGCCGACTTCTTGCACTTACTCTGAAAAAACATGAGCAACGTTTTAATATACGGGCGATTAAAAATTCAAAAAATTTTCTCAATTCACATCCCAAAGATATTAACAAAATATTCACGTAATTTTTTGAAAAATTATATACTTCAGAAACGCAACCCAGTACTGGCCAGTTAAAAAGATTTTTTGATCAGTTGAATTTAAATAAACTTTCAAAAGAGGAAGTGGACAACCTTGACTCTGATATAACCTTAGAAGAACTACATAATGCAGTAATTTGTTCAAATAAAGGAAAGTCTCCCGGAATTGACGGCCTCCCAATAGAGTTATACCTGGTGCTATGGGATTTACTAGGTCATATTTGGTTACGCACTATAAATGAGGCCATATCCAAAGGCCATTTTCACAGAGACCTAAATACAGCTTTAATCACCGTTCTACCTAAACCCGGCAAAGATCACTCGGACTGTTCTAACTATAGGCCCATCTCCTTGATTAATGAGGATGTCAAAATCTATGCTAAAGTTATTGCCAGACGTCTACACGAAGTAATACATAAATTAATTGTTCCAGATCAATCAGGTTTCATCACCGAACGCCTGGCTTCTGACAACATCCGCCGAGTGTTACACGTCATCGCAGAATCAGGGAAATTGAAAACGCCTAGTGGCCTTCTATTTATTGATGCCAAAAAAGCCTTTGATCGGCTTGAATGGGGCTTTCTATGGCATACTTTAAAGAAGTTCAATTTTGCGACCGGTTTATTAGAATGATACAAACTCTGTACACTAATCCCATGGCCAGAGTATCTACTGGTGGACTCATCTCAGATACGTTTAATATTCATAGAGGTACAAGGCAGGGTTGTCCACTTTCCCCCCTTTTGTTCAACTTATCAATAGAACCCCTGGCACAGTATGTTATACAGTGCAGTCTTATTACACCAATTCGGTTAGGCGCATCAAGCCATTCTATTTCCTTATATGCAGATGACACTTTATTATTTCTATCTGACTTGCAGCGCTCACTTCCTAACGCCCTCAAAATTATAGATGAATTTGGCATACTATCGGGATTTAAAATAATCATTCTAATCATTCTAAAACTATTTTGATGCCTCTTAATTCCGGTGGCCTTAACTTTCCTATTCCAAACAATATCCTAATATCAACACAAGTTAACCCCCTCATGACCTTTCTGCTAAGCACTGGATTAATTCCTTATTGGAAATACTATATCTGGAACTGTCTTCTGCACGGACTAATTACGCAAAGCCTGCTACTTTATCTATTTGGAAGAACTGGATTTCCATAGTCTCGAAGATTTTGGTCATTTAATCTAAAGATGTCATTCTGTTGTTAATTTTATTACCTTTTGTTTGTATATATTTATATATATATATATATATATTTGATTTTATATTGTTTTACTTTTGTGTTTATGTGGGTCCTGGGGTGCGATGGGGTGGGTGTGGGTTCTGGGAGGGCAATGGTTTATTTAATAGGTTTTCTCTCCTTTTGTTGTAATGTTTTTTTTGTGTGTGTGTTCTATCAAAATAAAAAAGTGAATTACAAAAAAATAAAGAACCTTTTGTGCAATGGAAAGATTCCATGGATATTCTTCATGGAACCATCAATGCCACCTTATTTTTAAGAGTGCATTTTATATATTACCATTTTTTTTCTTCTGTGCAACACAAAGTTATTAAGCAGAACTTTCAATTCAAGCATTGAAGAAATTTCATTGTTTGTGTGAACTATCTTTAAAATACTGTGTTTTCATGTGTTTTCCAGTGGATGAGTTCAGACAAGGCACTGAGTACCAGCCACACACCCTGCAGAAGCTCAGGATGCAAGACTTTGTTAGACCCCAGCACAGTGCTTAGAACGTGTATGAAAGTCACCGTGTTTAGAATTGGTGAGCTTTTCCTTATCAATGAACATTATCTTTGTTGGCTAATATGGCGCCATTAAGTTACATAACTATTCATTGTCATCATCATTTGGAACATGTTTGAACTTTGTGCTCTTATTAAGTTGTGCAATGCTTCTAAAATATAACTGAAGGTCAGTCAGTGCTATATAGCGCCAAAAGCCAAAAATGATTGCAGCATGCAGGAAATACTGAAAGCAAAGTGATTTTTTTGGTAATTTCTTCCAGATGAGACCTGGTGGACAACGTTTGGCTGTGTTCGTACCCTATGACTGCATGAAGACCATCTCAGAACATCTAGTTGACTTTACTGTTGTATTAAGAGTTTCATGCAATATTTGGAATGACCTCACACGCAATATCTGCTAAATAAATGCATAAACAAAATCATATTTTTGGCTTGTTAAATTGATGCTCTACATGTTTATCATTAGTGACCTACGAGACATATCCCTTGTTATTTATGTGTCTTGTAAGAGTTGTTTGGATAAGACACAACTGTTGCTATGCAGCCTGCAGATAAGACGTCAACGTTCAAACTGTTCAGTTATATTACCGTATTGGCCCGAATATAAGACGACCCTGATTATAAGAAGCTGAATAAATAAAGAAAAAAATAGCTAAATTTGTTGCTAGGTGCTTTGGGAAGAAAAAGTTGCTAGGATAGTCTGAAAAGTTGCTAAATTTAGCGACAAAATTGCTAAATTGGCAACACTGATTACATTACGTATTTCATGGCACACTCGTTTCATGCGTATTTGGCGCCACCTATTGTTGTGGGTGTATTATTGACATGTCTAGACCCTGAATATAAGACGGCGTTTTTTCAGACGTATTTCCAAGAAAAAAACATCGTCTTATATTCGGGTCAATACGGTATATGATAACTTACCGCAGACCTCTCGGTCAGCAACTTGTGTTCATGACTTGATAAACAATCCCATTACGATCAGAAAGCGGTCAATGCACTGCAACCAAGAGACGTTGATTGGTTCTAGCTTTTTAACCCTACAAAGCCTTATCATATCTGATATATGAATTTCCAAGGCCTCTAAATTATCAAAACTTTACTGAAAAGTGATAGTTTAGACTTTTCATCAAGTAAAAAGTATTTTAGTATAATTGTACAAACACTTACCTTAAGCTCGTGCTTCACGTGTCTTTTTGCTGTCAAATTTGTACTGATTTTTATAAGTTAAACGTAAGACTAATTGTTCCATTGTTAGTAATATTACAAGATGAACACTTACCGGACAAAAAAACTAAACACTTACTAGATTTACTCGATTATGATTTACCAGAATTTCATCTTACTTTTTGGCCATATAAAAACAATATCACCTTTAGAGGGTTAATCGAACATCAAAACTGAGGTAACA